TTTTCACCATTTCAATCATTCACATCAGTAAAAAACTTATTTAATGTATGTACTACAGTATTATACAGTCTTAACCACAATGCCAACAGTACTAAATTGACGTCATCGAACGAACGCCTTCGAAATTTTCTGATTGGCTGGTTGAATCTGCTATATTGCTTTTTATATAAAACATATAATCTTATTAATTATTTGTATACATGGATTCTAGTTACTTTATATATATATATATATATATAAATATTATAAATTCTATATAAAGAAGTTAATTAATGCAAAATGGGCAAACAATTTCAATGAAATTTGCATTTCTGAAAACCTCGTTCCTAAATATATATATATATATATATATATATATATATATATATAAATTCATTATAATTGCAACAGTAATCAATGCTACATATGTACGCCGCAGTTCAAAATTTTCGGGGAGAATTCAAAATAGTTTGAGATCACACCTTGCTTAACATCCGATTCCAAGCCAAGCCGAGCTAAGCTGAGCCATTATGCATAGATTTATAAGCGCTTTTATAATAAAATTATGCTCGCTTTATATATATAGTATAAAAATTCCTTATAAACGCAACAGTCTTAATCAGTGCTACATATGTGCGCAAATTTTTCTGGAAGAATTCCAAATAGTTTAAGACCACACCTTGCTTAACATCCAATTCCAAGCCGAGTGGAGCCAAGCTGAGCTAATATGCATAGATTTATAAGCGCTTTTATATTAAAATTTTGCTCGCTTTGTATATATAGTATATAAATTCATTATAAACGCAACAGTAATCAGTGCTACATATGTGGGCACGCAGTTCAAATTTATAATTTATTATAAATTTTATTTGATGTTTTTTAATTAGTCAGGTCACAATCATCATCATCATCGATGTCGCAATGAAATCAAATTGAGAATTTTTTAAATTAAAAAAAGTATCTTTATTCATTTTATGATACTATTTTGTTCAATAAGATACTGTTTGATACATATAACTAGAATAAATATAACGGCCTTCGCTCACTTTCAACGGTCGAACAAGGAGCTTACTTCTGGAGGGGAGATGGAGGGTGATTTTTTATCGTTCGAGTCAAAAGTTACGATAATATATT